GTGAAACGTTTCTGTTTTTTTTTTCTCGCTTATCAACCAGGTCCACATATATACGCAATTGTCCATTCACATTTGTATACCAATATTGTACTAGCTTCATAATTGGTGTACAATGATATATAAATGTTTATGTTGTGTTTGTGTATATATATATATTGTTTTTGTTTGTTTATACTCATTCATTCGATCTGCAGGCATCCATCAACAGGCATTCAAGCACGCGGCACTCGAGAGAAGCGCGTTATGATCTCTTATGATCAGAGAACAACATCGGGCAGACTATGTGGCCACTAGGCACGCGAGTCGTTGTCGTGCACTATTTTCCTCTCCTTGTAGTAGATTTCTTCGCTCTCCTTGTCGCACATCAGGAGGACAACGCCACCGAAGAGGAATATCGCCGCCCCCCATCCAACCCCATACGCCCATCCGAATTCCCATATCAAACGATTGCCTAAAAAACAAAGCAACATTAAAACAAATACAATCATCAAACTGCAGAAAAAAAAACAGACGTCTAAAGTTTATTTAAGAATTTTCAATTAATTACGCAGTAAAAATAATAACTAGTAAAGTTTTAAATTATAAAGAAAAAAATACATTTTATTTTTAAGAATTTGCCAATACTTCAAGCGAATGTTCTACAGATATATTAATAAATTATTTGTAAAACCTTATTCTCCACAAGTGATAAAACAAATTCGTCTAAAAGCATGGGAAAATTGACAGTAAATTATGGGATCAACGATTAGGTTTTGAAAAAAATAGAGTCAAATTGAAGTCTTTTAATGCCCTCCTACAATTACTGAATAATGATTTTCGGAATGATGGTAAAAGAAGCAAATAGATATGCAGCAAAGTCTGTAGTCTTTAGTATTTCTTGAATTATTTACTAATGAAACAATTTAATGTTAAACGAACTTATATTTTATTCGTATAACCAATTAGGCGCCAAAAGTATAAACAAAATGGTAACGGTTATACGTTATTCGAAGGAAAATATTCTGCTCTACAAGATATTGTGTTTACTTTTACGTTACAACCATTATTTTATTGAATTGCACGCCTTCAAAATGGAATTACAAGTAGAAAAAGTCTCTTTCAACACGTTTTTATTTTCGTTGGGAAGAAGTTCTGAATAATAAAGGAGAATAGTGACTAACTGATAATTAGTGACTAATTTGCTGTAATTTTCTGTTGTTGTGTCCTCCTATTCTCTTAATTTAGAAAAACGGACAGAACGTATGTTAACACTCAATAGTTTTGATCATTGATGAAGCTAGAAATATCGGCCCCTTCCGCATGGTATGAGGGCCCCTCTCCCTTGTTATTCTCAGTTTAATTATCCAAAGTAGAGGCGGACAGTTAAGTTTGGGGCCCCTGCACTAATACTATATTGGAGCTCTGATCGAATAAAAGTTGTCGTGCGCTTTAATATTTGCAAATTTTAATATTTATACATGGATAAGAAGATGACGACGAGCCTCAAAGTCTTCAAAGGGCCTTTCTGCATTGTAAACCTTTGATATGCGGTAGCTAAGTCAGTGGTTTTGAGGTACCTTTTCTTCTAAATCGGGGGTTCCCAAACTTTTTCGGTTTACGGCGCCCTTAATATATCAGAATTTTTCCTCGGTGCCCCAATTCAAAACATTTATGTTAATATATCAGTTCCTATAGTTCTAAATACTACAGTGCAACCTCGTTAGTAGACGGCTTTGAAAGTCGTAAAATTCTGTGGTCGTCTGCATTTTTATATCAATCTAAAATTAGTCAAGACAAAAGTACTTTTTTTATTGTATGCACTTTCTAATATTTGGAATGAAATTAAATTCAGTTTCTGCACTTATTTATTTCAGAATATTTATGTAAATTTATTAACTATTATCTGAATATTAGTGCAAGTATGAAAATTTTGAAAACAAACATTTTGAAATTTAGATATTGATTTTAAAAGATTCGTAGCTATAACAATAAATTGTAATTAATTCGCTGCAAAAACTTTTCTCGTAAAGGTGTTTAATTTACATTGAAATATACTTCTTAGCTTCCAACAAATTTACCACCAGTAAATCAATCTGTGCCTGAGATGAGATTCCCTGAATTTACCTCTTTTAAACTAAACCAACTTTTGAATACCAGTGAAAATCGAAGTTAAAGTAAATTTAATAAAATTCAATTCGTTATAAATTTAAATTCGTAAGATTATAACGAATATTTTAATTTGTGTTGTAGACTTACGTCAAAGGTGACAGCTGTCAAAAAATGTATAGTATTTCGATAGTATTTCTTCTAAATTCAGATCACATTCACAATTTAATGATGCTTTTTTAAGAGATTGATAATAATTCGTAAAATGATCATAAAGAAACTAGTGAATATTGACTGAATGCTGCTTCCAGAAATGATGATATTGACATTATAGGGAAATAAATAATAAAATAAATATTATTTTGACGTAATAATAGTTTTTGATTCAAGTTAATTTTATATATTTGGTAGAGTTTGTTCATTCACTGAACAGTTATGGTCATAAATAAAAATTAAAGATATTTTTTTTCTTTCTAAAAATTGTCTTGTAAATTGGGATGAATCTTATTGTCAAAGAGAAAAGATTTTCAAAACCATACAAAAATGTAATCTACTGCTAATAGTAATAAATATTTATTTAAATTTTTTATTCAAGTTTTTTTAATTGCAAATTTAACTTACCAAAGGTGAGTTCAGCGGCGAAGCAGACGGGATAAATAATGAGCGCAATCAATATGGAGACCACTGGAAATTGGATGAATTAATTATACGGGGGGATTCTACGTATGAATTCGTTATAACTTACATGCCAATCCCATTACGATCACGGCGAATCTGTAGTATTTATATTTCGTGTGATGCTCTTTCGTCCTCAATCCCAATCCAGTTGCGACAGTTGCCACCAAATCCGATAACAGTGTTATGACACAAAGGGCAGCCGCTGCTCGTATATAAGCTGAAACCGCGATTAACATTTCAATAGGTTTGTTAAGTACATAACTTCACATCATACACACACAAATAATAAAAAATAATTCTTGTAATTTTATTATTAACTATTACTACTACTAATAATAAAGTCAAATTAAATTGGAGTAATTAATATTTAACTTAATTTTACTTATTGTTTAAGTAATATAATATTCTATGCGAAATGACAGCTGTCACCTTTGACGTAAGGAGACAGCTGTCAAAAATTGTATGTTATAATTAATTGAATGTCTCAAATGCAAAATTACAGCTGTCATATTTGAAATCAGGAGACAGTTGTCAAAAATTGAATGATATAATCAATTGAATATCTTAAATATTAAATGCAAAATTACAGATGTCACCTTTGACGTAAGGAGACAGCTGTCAAAATTTTTATGATATAATCAATTGAATGTCTTAAATGTTAAATGCGAAATTAAAGTTGTCGCATTTGAGGTAAGGAGACAGCTGTCAAAAATTGTATGATATAATCAATTAAATCAATTAACATTAGAATCGGCTTAAAGCATCCAGCAGACACAGAAAATAAATTATTTATAATAATAAAGTTATTTTAAATTGAAATAAATTAATATATGAATCGTTCAAATTTCATCCATACTAAACTATATCAAATATTACCATGCGAGGTCATGTCATTAAATGCAAGTCGATTGTTTTGAATTAATAATGCATGAAGCATACATTACCGCACTTGATATAATTAAATCTAAAGTTTGTTTTCAGCTCGAAATGCTATGTAAATTCCGTATTGAAATCCATCTAATTTAGAAGTTTGTATTGAATTAAACTGTAAATGCTCTCTATCACTGTGCATGCATACACATATGTAGTATATAGATACTCACGTGCTTCTCTTGCTTGGTAGCATCCCGGTGGTTCCTGCATGTTGAATGGAAGAGGATACTCCGCTCCTTTCTCAATGCAATGCATGAACAATCCTTGTCTCCAACCATCTGCCATCAGCCAATCCGTCGATGCCAACCCCATTATCATTAATATTATAACGATGAGGCCACATATGAAGGCTATAACCTACAACAAAAAACAATTATAATTTTAGACATCATCATTATCTCAAAATTATAGAAAGTAGAAGAGTAGAATTTGACTTTAATTTTCTTAAAACCAAAGCTTAGATACCGGAGTTTTACGCTTCGTGTTTGGATACTTCCAATTAAATTCTTCCACAATCTGCTGAAGAAAGATTTTACTTATTTTTGAATATAAGTTAGAATTTTTTTTACAACTTTAAAAATTTTCTAATTATTTTTAAATCGTCTTCATTTTACCATAAATTTTACTATAAATACATGAGTAAATTACATTTCTTATTGACTTTTATTTACAAATATAATCAAAATAAATTAAGATTTGCTTTGAATTGCATTGAGAAAATTATAATTAGATATGATAATAAGTAATAAACGGATAAACACTATAAAAAATTGAGAATGTGCAATACGTCATAAAAGTCGTAAACTTTGCGTCGGACAACATTATTACACTAAAATTATCTTACATAATAAATTTCAAGTCATAACAGTAAATTTTCCACACTACATTTGTGATAAATAAAGTTTTAGCCAATGTTTTAAAATGTAAATTTGTTTTCAAACTTTTGCGGAAGTTGCAAAAGTTATTGATAAAGAAAAATTGAAAATGTGCAATACGTTATGAAAGTCATAAACTTTACAATATTATCACACAGCAAAATCGTTATTATGTATATAAACTGTAAGTTATAACATAAAATTTTCCACTACAATTTATGTGATAAACATTGTTCTAATAAAATCGGAGTTTATAACGTATATAAATGAATATAGTAAACATTTACACTCAGTATTAATAAGTAGATTTGTTTAAAAAAATCTTTGAGTTATACTAAAATTATCTTATATAATATTATAAAACTTTCAGTCACAAACGTACATTTTTCACTCTAAATTAATGATAGATATTGCTCTTATAAAATCTACTAACAATTAAGGATGAAAAATATAAATTTGTATAATTATTGATAATTGTACCTATAATCCAGAAAAAATTCTGTTCTTATTAAATAATAATTGGAAAAATGAATGAAAATCGTAAACTTTAGGTCAGACAACATTATCACATTAAAATCAGTAATTGTTCTAACAAAATTAAAGTTTTATCAAATGATTTACAACATAAATATTTAAAATTGTAGTAAAAATTAACGTTATAAATTGTGTATTAATAGGTAGAGTTGGTAAAAAAGTTAGTGTTAAAAAATACGTTAGACAATATTATCACACTAAAATCGTTATACATAATAAACTGTATGTCATTACTGAAATTTTTCTTCAGACTTTTTATCAAACTTTTAAAACGTAATTTTCTTCAAAATGTACGTTGAAATGTTAAGTATTGATACAACTGTTGTAAAAGGTGATGTGAATCAATCAAAGAATTTCAATAGAAATATTATTCTAATAAAATCTACTTTTAACGAAAGTTAATGATATTTAGTAAACATTGTATTAATAATATTGAGTTTTAATGAAAGATTAAAAACATGAATTTAAATTATACAAATTAAAACATAAATAGTTAAAAATTTACGGTCGATTGTCACAACTTATTAAAAGATGTGAATCAATCAATGAATGATTTAATAATAATACAATTAAGTTTTAACGAAAGTTTTTAAACGTTGTAGTTCAAATTTACGCTAGATTGTTAGTTGCTGATAGATTTGTTACAAAATGTATTAGGTGATGTAAATCAATCAATGAATTTAAATAGAAATTAAACTTTTAACAAAAGTTTAAAAGCGTAATAAATAAATAAAATTTAAACACAAATGTTATTAACTATTGGTAAGTAATTCAATAATGGATGAATTTAAATAGAATTATGTGATAATTATTAATTTAATAAAATCAACTTTTATCGCAAGTTTCAATAGGTAAATAATTATATTTGTAATCAAAATTTAAACATAAATGTATTGAATTGTTATTGGTGAAGTGTATACATTTCAATAGAAATATGTTATAAAAGTTGTTCTAATAACAACAATTAAAGTTGTTACAAAAGTGACGTGTATTATTCTTTTAATAAAATCGACTTTTAACGAAATTTTTACAAAATAAATAGTAAAACAATGTAGTGAAATATTGTAGTTCCAATGTTAAGTATTCATATAATTGTTGCAAAATTTATTAAAGTGAATCAATCAATGAATGAGTTTTTCGAATGTTTTACAAAGTAAATATTTAAATTTGTAGTAAAAAAACAGGTTAAAAAGTTTAATATTGATATTCATTGAATTGTATAAAATAGATTGGTGATGTAGATAAATCAATAAATTTCATTAGGAACTTTGACCTAATAAAACTAAGTTTTAACGAAAGTTAATTATTGATAGATTTGTTACAAAATTTGGTGAAAGTAAATGATGAATTTTAATAGAATTATGTGATAATTATTAATTTAATTTGTAAAGAAAATGTAAACATAAATGTTATGAAGTAATGATAGGTATTGAATCATTAGAAAAGTTTTTGGTGAAGTGAATAAATTTCAATTGAAATTTGGTAAAAATGTCGTTTAATGAAAGTTTAAAAAACTTATAAATTAATTAAATTTGTAGTAAAAAAAATTATGTTGTTACATTAAAATCGACTTGTAACAAAAGTTTTATAAAATAAATAGTAAAGTATGTAATGAAACATTGTAGCTCGAAGTATTGATATGTAGAATTGTTACAAAAAGTTATTGGATGATGTGGATCAATCAATGAATTTTAATAGGGACACCAGTAAAAGGAGCTTGAAGTGTAAAATCCAATCGTGTTCACATACACGTACATAATAATTAATTAAAATCCGTCAAACGCACCCGAATAAATCGCGGATTAATTAATACACACACATCGACTGAAGAGTGCAAAAGCTTTTTTTATTCACATTCTCTCTCTATCTCCATAAAATAATTAAATTTAGGATGTAGACCTATCTCGAAATCTGTTTACAAATGTTATTTAAATTGTAATTGCTGTGTAATTGACGTTTTTTGTTGTTGTTGTAAAAGTATTATTTGTCGTAAACTTTAGGTCAGACAACATTATCTCAAAATCCATATAAATAAAAAAAAACTGTAAATAATAAAGAAAAAAAATCCACATAAATGTTTGTTACAGACATTGTTTTACAATATAAATATTCAAATTTGTACAAAAGAAAAACGATTCAAAGATTGGCCTTCATTAATTTTAATATTTAATAAACTTAATTCTAATACAATTGATTTTTAACGAAAGTTTTAAAACGCTCAATTTGTAAGGATTCATTGAATTGTTACAAAAGTAATAATTATTGTGTGTTTATATAACGAAATCGATTTGTGCTATCCTTTTTTTAAGTGGATAGTTGCGCCAGGATTCAATTAGTCAGGATGCGAATGCAGTGGCTTTGATTATGGGCGGATGATAATTTAGATGGAAATGGACCGTCGCTTTAAAGGAATTTCCGGGACTTTCGGCAATAATCGTTAAGTTAAACGTTAACAATGCTGTTTTTGGCTCCTCGCACTCCGCCTTCGGAATGGCCCGACTAGGAGCCGGCTTTTATTGACTCCTCGCACCTGAATACTAATTGCGTGATTCACTAACATCGTCGGCATATTTGCACCTGCATTTATCGACATTGTCTCAAAAGCGTGATTCACTGCAACACCGCCGTTTTCAACCCTTTTGCAAAAAAAACACACCCTTCGTGAAACAACTTTTAAAGCACATTTCAATGATTCTGCATAAAGAAATCGGACGTATCTTGAATATGCAAAATTCTTTAGCTAAACAAATAAAAGATAAATATTATACTTTTTTGTTTGATGAAGGACTAAGTTGCGCAGGTGAATTAAGAAATAGTTTGACATTTGACGTTTGTTTCCTACTTATATTCTTACATTTCCCTATACTACGATACATAAAACTAGACTTTCTCCTTACCCTACGTTTCTTAAACTTATACTGTTTTCTCCATGCTAAACTCCCCAAAAGCCAGCTTTCCTGGCAAGCTTCATGGTGTGTTGCCACCTTTCACAACCATGTTGGCAATCGAAATCCTGACAATAAAAATCCCGACAACCATAATCCCCAAAATCCTCCATTTGCGAATTAAATTATTATTATTACGGGGTGGGTGTTGTGATTAGGTGTAGGGTTTATAATGATGATTAAACGTTTTCACGGAATTTCACCTGAGTGGTTTTGTTTATTATTCGCTCGGCTAAAATCCCCAATTAATAATAAATTGTTATTAATAATAAATAACAACAATTAATAATCTAATTTTATTTTAGATTATTTCAAATTGTTAAGGTTTCTTATAAATAAGTCTATATTAAATAATAAAAGATTCTGTCGGAATTTTAATACTGTCGAGATTATGGTTGTGGGGATTTTGATACTGTCTGGATTTCGATATAGACTCTATAGATATAGATAAAAAAAACAAATTAAATTATCTATTAGTGTTTTTGAACCTCAAAATTACATCCCAATTGTTTATAATCACAAAAAAAAAGTTTCGACCAAATTTTGATTGCTTCTGGAATCTTATCCAACTGTACTCATTCATAAAATTTGACGCAAGATGACAGCTGTCATTTCGCGACCCATAGGTTGAGAAACGCTGGTGTTATATTTTATATTATATTTTATTTTGATTTTTCTTTGTGCAATTATTCTTTATTACAAAAAAACATTTTTGTTAAGAATATTTATATTAATAATGATATAAACAGTGAATTATTAACATGTTTACTTATTTTCACAAAATTATACATGATCAGTAAGAAAAGTGAAAATTCCTCAAGTAAATATCGAATTGATTGCATTTTAACGAGGAGAAATTAGAATTATGTTTCACATTTTCTTTGCAATTCTTACATTCAATTATGAAAAGACTTAGCAAATAAAATAAAATGTTTTCAATATTTATAAATATTTTTAACGATTTAAAAAAAATAACGTATTCATTTTTATTTATTTATTAAAA